AAGAGACATTACATGAAACCATACTCACTCTAACTATATGTAATATACTTTTTTATTTATTCAATTCTTTTCTTTTTTTAAAAAATTTTAATTACAGTTGCATACAATATTATTGACTATATTTCCCATGCTGTACTTTACCTCTCTGTGATTTATTTCATTGTTTAAATGCTGATTGCCAAGACAACCCAAGAAGGAAGCATTGCATAGAGAGTTTCCCAAACTGTGAAATTGTTTGAGAAATACTGAGAATTTGAGAAATGCTCCTTTACTAAATGTAAATCAGTACTTCTAAAATACTTGGGGGAAAAAGCAAAATTTAAAAATTATCCTAAAAAATTGATTATTCTCAAGGAATTTGTAAATCTAATCAGACCCAGTTTAAACAAAAAGCAAACAATAAAAAATACAAAACCTTGGTTTATGTGTAAGAAAACCTTTAGACAATAATACACTATGGGATGAGGGACTATGATGTTGCTTTTTTCTGAATAATTTTCAAGTCCAGATTTAAATATCTTTTTAAGATATCTTTTTTAAAAAAAACCTGGAGTTTCTTCTGTCCCTTAGTTTTTAATAGTAAATTTTAAATATAAATTGCATTTGTCCTGTTTCAGGTACAGTACTTAGATCATGGACTCACTGAGAAGATCCCACAGTGCCATCTCTACCCTATTTTGCTATATCCTGACACACCCCAGTTTTGTATTCCTTGTCAGCTCTATCATACCATACCTGTGAGTAAACAGTAATTTGTAGTATAATTTTAAATACTGTTTTTTATTAACAATAATTTTCTAGAAATTAGCATGTAATTTGAAATCCCTTTCAGTTGCAACAAAAATAGTAAAATAATATGACAGCTAAAGGTCCTTTATAAAGAAAACTACAGCCCGGCTGGGTGTGGCTCAGCGGTTGAGCATCAACCTAGGATCCAGGAGATTGGGGTTCGATTCCCGGTCAGGGCACATGCCCGGGTTGCGGGCTAGGCAGCCAATCAATGACTCTCATCATTGATATTTCTGTTTCTCTCTCCCTCTCCTTTCCTCTCTCTGAAATCAATAAAGATATGTTAAAAAAAAAACTACAGAATTATTCTGAAGGATATAAAAACATCTGAATAAATGAAGAGACATAATATCTTCATTATGCAAAGGCATAACCTTGTAAAAAATGTTATTTCTTCATCAAATAAAATTTCAACAGTTTTGAAGCTGGAAATCAGATAAAGGAGTGTATGTTAATTATCTTTTGCTGTATAACAAATAAGCTGAAACTTAGTGACCTAAATTAACAGTAAACTTTTTTTAATCTCATAGTTTCTGTGGTCAGAAATTAGGAGCAGCTTAACTGGGTGGTTTGACTTAGGGTTCTTAGTGGTTCTGCAGTCAAGATGTCACCAGAGGATATAGTCGTTCCAGGGACTGACGTTCCAGGGACTGACAGGTACAGGATCCACTTCCAAGTGGCTCACTCAAACAGTGTTAGCAGGAAGCCCCAGTTCCTCGCTCTTAACATGTGAAACATAACAATCACTGCTTCCTAATAAACACATATTGTAAGCATTATAATATATATTGTTCAAGCACCAGTATTGGCATATTGGCTTTTCAAAAAAGTGTTATGATGCTTTGTTTTTAATGAGGGTTTATATTTTTAAAGTATAAAATGCTTTAAGAGGGTATAATGGCGGGAAGCTGAGACAAATACTAGTTTCTTAAGATCATTTCTATCATCCACTCATGATATTTTCTGAAAACTGCTTGTATATTTTTTAATGGTATGTGTGTGGCTACTTTTGTTGTATCTTCCTTTGCTTCCTGAATTGTTTTGTGAAAGTGTGAAAAATCTGAGTTTATTTCTCCCAAATAGGTTGGGAGTATCTGGCAACCAGATGCAATAGAACTCCTTCAGGAACTGCTTTCAAAGAGAGAGGTGCAAATTCACATTATGGTAATTTGTATTAAAGCATATATCATTGATTTAAATTATTTGCCATAAAGTGTTATAGGTAACATAACTTGAGGGCTATTTTTATGATGAACAATGTTCCTATGTGAATGTAAATTACTTATTAATATAAAGAAGTTATCGCTTTGGTTCCTGAGAACTTTTATAAGCATGAAAGTCAGTAATTTGGAAGATTCTTTATTAACAATTTATTTTGATAACAGGGAGCAATATCAAAGAATGAGAGGTGTTTAAAAATACAAATGGTAGCCATAGCCAGTTTGGCTCGCTAGTTAGAGTATGGGCCCATGCACTGAAGGGTCTTGGGTTTGATTCTAGTCAAGGGCATGTACCTCAGTTGCAGGCTCTATCCTCTCCTGGTCCAGGTGCATGCGGGAGGCAAACAATCAATGTGTCTTTTTCACACTGATGTTTCTCCCTCCCCCTCCCCCTCTCCCCAATCTCTAAAAATATCAATGGAAAAAAGATCCTTAGGTGAGGATTTAAAAAAAAAATCATTTTTCCCCCCCATGTAGCTATACAGGTGTCCCAGCATAATTTTGAAAAGACTATTTTTTTCTCAGTTAAAATTCTTTTGTCACCTAGTTGAAAATCATAAAACACTGGCATGCCCGGCCCGGCGTGGCTCAGCGGTTGAGCATCGACCTAGGATCCAGGAGATCAGGGTTCGATTCCCTGTCAGGGCACATGCCCGGGTTGTGGGCTCGAGCCCCAGCAGGGGGCTTGCAGGAGGCAGCAGATCAATGACTCTCATCATTGATGTCAACTCTCTCTCTGCCTCTCCCTCCCTCTCTCTGAAATCAATAAAGATATATATTTTTAAATTATATATAAAAAACAAATCTTATTAAAAAACACACAAACACTGGCAAAAAACACTAAGCAAAAGTAGTAGTGGGCAACAATAGGATAAATATTGGTGGCACCTTTATTTTTGAAACCTTTAATTTCTCCATCTCTGCTGCAGGCGGAAAAATTGGTCATGCGAATGAAGTGTGCTTGTTTAAAATTCCTGTTTCATCTTGTTATCCCTTGCTATTGAATTTTTTGAGAAAATTAGTCCTGACATGGCTGCTGCCTTCAGTCCTCCCCTCTTCATTGTAGCGAAGTTTTCCATAGTCTGCTTTGGTCTGTACCACTCTACTACAGTTGTCTCAGAGCTTTATTCCAACTATTAGAGAGGCTTCTACTTATTCTGTTTGACACCTCTGCAACATCTCACAGAGTGGATTAGTTCCTAACATTGTCTTGATTTGTATAGCACGATAGTGCCCTGATTCTCTTTAATGTCTCAGTCTTTTTGACTGGTGATTTGTCTGCCCATAATGTTGAATGCAAGCAAGGTTCTCCTCTTCACTCTTAACCAATTCCTCTCTGCCAAT